GGTATGATTGAAAATTAGCCATATAAAAATTCTAGTTTTTCTTATTGCCATCTAGCCTGCTTTGGCCAACACTATCATAAAAAGCTAGAGACATTGCATAGCTATTGTGATAATTTGTTCCGGTGGATCATCTATTTGCATGACCTTGGTTATAAGGTCATGAAATGTGCTAGAGTTGGTGGGGAAAAACTTGTGCCTTTGAAATTTGAGAGCACTTTTTATTCCCTCTGGTAGTTTTTCTGAAATTCTGTGAGTAGGACTTACCTAGCTTGATTCTTCATTACTTGGAAATCCTGAATAGTTTTTCTTGGAAGTAACCAGATGGAAAAAATTAAAAATGTTTCAGAAGAACTATTAATACTGGGTGTTTCTTTTCTGAAGCATTTTATTTTTATTTAGACTTAGATCAAGGACACTTATGAGTTTAAAGTTAGCTGATCCAGCATGATGAAAATTGTTTTTATCAGAATTTCAAACCATAGCTTTATGCATCAGTAGGCTTGACTCTGTTTTTAACAATTGTCTTTACCTTTCTTGCACTTTAAGAAGGTAACAAAATAAAAGCTTTTTACTACAATTTTGCTTCATATGGTGTGCTATTGCCTTAAAAATAATATTTTCTAAGGAATGTTAAGGGAATGTTTAAAGAAAGCACTGACACCGTCTCCAGAATCTTTTCATAGAAGACATTTAGTCCCATTCTTATTACCCTTAATGGTTGTTCCTTTTTAAAGAACAAGTACCAAATGTATGATGGGGACTTGCCAGAGAAAGACTAGGTTCTATTACTGGGTTTCTGCAGGAAAAAAAATCTATAGGAATATAATGAAGAAACCCAAATGAATTCCATTTTTTAAAATAATTTTTTTTTTGTAAACACATACTATAGTACTATCAACAGTTAGATAAAATTTCAATGTTGAAATTCTCAAAATCCACAAACGGAAAAACATTTGTAAGATTTCAATGGTGTGGGCAATGCTGTGAATTGGACAAAGGGAGAGCAGGCTTCTAGAGTCCAAGGAGATCGCCAAGTAACTGGATGCTCTATGATGTGAGTTAGTGCCTCTGCCAGAACAAGGCATCCAGGAATTATTGTTACCCTCTTTTAGTTTTACAAAGGAGAATTTGTGGTGTAGAAAGAAAAGAAGAGACTTGGGAATAAAGCAGATCTGAGTATCATTTATTAACACCTTCAACTTCCACAGACTTCTGAATCACCCCAAACATCTTGTTTTTTTTTTTTTTTTTCACTTCTGAAACAAGGACAGAAATTAAAGGGATGTTGGAAAGTAAAATATCTAGCAGGGCTCACCAAAGTTAGTTGCCTTCCATTTGCTGTTGGTGTTTGTATGAGTTAGGTTTATATTTAATTTCTTAATGTAATTCACCAGAAGGTTACAGTTTTCTCCATGCACAAACAAGCTCCACAATGATACAGAAAAATATCCTCTGTGAAGAAGACAAAGGGCTTAGAAAGGTAATTTTAACCTGTTTGAAAGTAGCTATGGAATAGTGGAAAGAAAAATACTCATGCAGTTCTAACACAAGGCTTAGCCTGTCACCCTAAGCTGTCAGATCCATGGCTTCCTCCTTTATGTGATGAATTTAGTGAGATAAATTATTCAAAATATAGCAGATGATTAATAAAAGTCCATTATGAAAAATAAAAATAAAAACAAACTATAGCTAACTGAAAATGAAGGATGCATTCCCTCCTGATACATTTTTAGCATAAAGTGAACAAAGACACTTAGAACCATGGGGCATCTGCGCTCTTTTGTCTGTTTTTATGTGTATATAATAGGAAAATGAGAGGGAGATTGCCATACATCATTTTTTTCTAAGTATGCTTTGTTATAGCAGCATTACTAATTAATCCTGCTACAACCCAGTATGTGGGTGAATTCTTCTGTTCAAAGTCTTTGAAACAATCAAGTATGTCCCAACATGTTTTTTTTCTCTTTTCAAGTTGCTACACCCAAGTCGTGATCTGTTTCCTTCTAGTTAGCATGTTGCTACAGAAAAGGGCTTTATCAGCCTCATGAGTTTCAATATCAGATTGAATCTGCTATTATGCTTACAGAAAGATGACAGCTACTCCCAAGCAGCTAATGGTGTGTGATTTGGATCACATTCCCAGGACTGAAAGTGTCTTGGCATGAACCATTCCCACACATTCACTTGGTGCTCCTGTGACTGTGTCTTGAGACCAAAGACATATTTTGAGGGAGAATATACAGGTCCCATGTGGGGTAACAGGTCAAATATCTTGGAATGCAACTTATGCTAGAAAGTCATCGTTAAATTATTTGCCTCTCATGTGAAAGAACCTCAATGGGTGGTTTTAAAAAATGTATTCTGATTATTTTTCAGTCAAATGATAATGAGTAACCAAGATACAAATTACACAGCAAAGATTCCATAGAAATAAATTACTGGAAATAACTGTGAATATCATCTTTTTGTGATTAAACATTTCTAACATGAATGTTCAGTTGTATATTTCTTTATATTTCAGTAATAAATCCAATTTTGTATGTCTTTCAAAGTCAGTCAACACTGACTTTGTTCTGAACCTTGAAGGTCTTGTTTGGTGCCCTGGTTTGAAGTCTGAATGAAAAGAAACCAATCATTGTAAAACAATTTTCACATATTGTAAGATACAGTATTATCTGTACTTTACGTCACTCACTTTGTTCTTTATTCTGAAATTCATTGGGAACACAGTATCATTTTTAGTAATAAACAAAGGTAAGGAGAGAAGTGACAATGCCAAAAAATAGAAAATTACTTGTTTGCTAGGTTTACCAAATTTATTTATATCATATTATTTTCTTCTTGCAGTTTTTGGTTTGCTTTGTTTTAATTTGTATATGAAAGCAAACAAGACATAATACCATGGCTAATAGTTTCAGATCACTGCATTCCTGTGATTCCCAACCTTTTACAACAGTAAAACTTCTAAGATTGTATTTGCAGTTCAGTTGAATATCACCCTGATAATGTATACTGTGACTATACGTGGCTGAAAACGGAACATTCATACAGTTTCTTTAAGTACAGAGCCAATCAGTCAAATAAGATGTATAGTGCAGTCATTATTATCAAGTGAACTAACCTGCATAATACACATTTAGAATGCCAAAAGTTTAGATGGAACAAGGGGAACTCACAGACAAAAAAAAAAAAAAAAAATCAGCCCAGCTAAAATAATTATCTATTTACAAAGCTTCAAGCTCAGAGATTTTTGGTCCAACTCATTGATGGGCATGTTTGGCATCCCCAGATATTTAGTGCAAGAAACCCTGGTTTTCTTTTCTTATGCTATTTTTTTTTAGGAATTGGCATGTTCAGTTAAAAAAATTCAAATTTTAATATTGGAAAAGCAAATCAAATTGGATAAGTTCCTGGAACTATTCTTTAGGCAGCCTCAATGTTCAGAGAGCCTGGATGTGGTGAGGTTAACACTGACCTTCAAAGTTGGAGACAAGTTCTTCTGGCCTAGTCTTCCACATCGATCATGATACCTGGAATCAGTGAAGTTACAAAAAATACACATTATTTGCATAAGTATCTGTACAAGGTTTCAAGAACACCTGGTAGTTTGTAGCTTTTCTCTCCTCACATTGCTGCCGCAGTGTATTTTCTTTCAATGCAGAAACACCTTACATTATAGAATGATGACAGTATGAAAGCTGTTCAGAACTGTAAATAATAATTTTCCATGCCACTCTTTTTTGTACATATATGTGATAAGGCTGAGAGGAAACAATTAAAAATAATGTCTATTTTATTGCAACTAAGTTTATAGCCTTTCAATGTAGCAACTCCTGAAAAATTTGGAGAGGCATTCAAAAGACTTATAAAATGCCCTTGCATCTCAGTTTGAAAGTGAATGCATTTGTAGCATTTCCGTTTTAGCCAAAAAAAAAAGAAAAGTCCTGAAATGTTTGCCTTCTTTTTTTCCTCAGGTAAGAGGTATGATGTCCTAGTTGCTGAGGTCCTCTGGAAATGATTGAGATAACTTGAAATTTTCTTATTCTCCCTCATCTAGGAAATTCAATAAACAAACATGTCTTTTATGATGTGGCAGTGGGAACAAGAATGTATTGACTGAGTTTTTTGAGAACTGAGGTGGAAAAAAGTGTTCTTTATTTAGCTGCAGGTATCTGATATTTTCCCCTAAATAAACTCAGCCATAGACTTAAGACTTCTTAAAAGTCCATTTGTATGTCTGCCCAAGTGATACGTCTAAATCAGGTTTTTTCAGTCTTGACTTTATTGCCATTTTGAGCCAGAATATTCTTTATGTGGGTGAGGGAGTGTCCTGTGCATTGCAGAATGTTTAGTGGCATCCTCGGCCTCTATTGACTGGATGCCAGTAGCTTCTCCAAGCCCCACCTCAATCATGACAACCAAAAATGTCTCCTGACATTGTCAAATGGCCTCTGGGGGGAAAATAGCCCTTGGATCAGAATCATTATTGTAAATCTTGCAAAATAATAATACTTTACTACTTCTAAGGCTTAATATGTTAGTTATCTAGGATATCTGCCTGTATATATATTTATATTCTCTTACATATAGTTTTTTGTCATTCATATGCAATTCTCTAAGCTCTTTGATTAGTCTACTAAAAGAAACTGAAGATTGGCTTAAACATAATTTTTTTTTCTATTTTATAACTCTTACAACATACCCTGTGTGTCTGTTATGTTTTGAAAACCTATTTTAATGTGTTGACTGTCTGTTCATTATCGATAGAAACAATTTCTTGCCTTTTCTGCATCACTCAGGGGATCTTGGATCTTAGTGCAGGAACAGTATTTTGCTGGGCCAGCTTCATGTGTGATCATGTCACTATTTTAAAATACATCTGCTGGTAATACAGTCTTATGTACAGCTGTCTTCAAGAACTAGCCAACAACTGTCTCATCAGGATGGGTTTTCCATCTTCTCCTTCCAACACCTTTGTTTTTCTTCCTTCCATGCTATAGGTATATTGATCATGAGGAGAGGGTTCGCCCCTCACGGGAGAAGTAGTTAGGAAGGCAATATGTGGAAACAAAGCCATGAATCTGACATGAAATGTGCTTAAGGTAAGTAAGAAGATGGGGTTGCATTTTTATGATGTGTTACAAAAAAATTGTCCAGAAAACATCTAGCTCCGGAAGCCAACCATTATTCACTTTGAGGGAGCGTGCCATGCAAAAGATCTCCTGATTTTAGGAAATCACACAGTGACCTGAGTTGCTCTGGGTGCCTACCGAGGAACATGGACGCAGCTTCAGTCTAAGAAAGAATGTTCAATTGAGGCAGCCACTTTCTCCGGGCCAAATTATATTCTTCATAATCTCCCAAGTGTTATATTTAATTTACATTTGAAATAGAAAATATGTGAACATAGACTTGGCTCACAAATTATTTCAGTTTTCTGAATTCAGGAGAATGTGCTTGTTGAAGCAGATGTTTCTGAATTTTATTTCATTACTGAAATTTCCACAAACATAAATCATTTAAAAATACATGATTTAAGAGTTTAATAACCTGAAAATGATCACCCAGCAAAGTTTTTGTATCTTTCCTCAGCATTTCTGACCATGTGTTTTCAAGAAAGCATTGAAATTTTTACCAAAGCTTCTCATGTAGATAATCTCTTAAAAGTTTAAATCTCTTATGCAGCATAAGAAAAATAAGCTATTTTTTTGACTTCAATCTAAATGACATTCTGTACTCTTTACAAGCCCCTGAGTATTTGATAACTCTGAAAGATGCAAATGTAAATTTCCTATGAATCCCAATTTTATTCAAAGATTGAAGCCCTATCACTTCACTTAGAACAAATTTCATCCATTAACAACTATCTTGCAGGTAAAGGGAAGTAAAATATAAGTAAAGTACTAACAAAGCCAATTACATTCAGGTGCATGGATGATTAATCATAAAATTCACAGTGGAGGACACTCTGTGGGTAAGGAATACGATTCCTTTTTGAAAATAATGTGGTATATGTATATATTTTTCTTCTCTTCTCCTTTCACATGCACTGTTTAGATTGTATACGTGGAGATGAATATCCATTGTCCTTTGCACTTTCTGGATGATAAATTAGAAAGGAAGAATCCAAAGAATGAAGTTGTGCTATTTGTCTTCATTTCTGATCTGGGAAACTAGAGGAAATTAAGATGGTTAGTATTGCTATCATTTTTTCCCCCTGAACCCTAGGAAATAGGAATTTAAAGTCCTTAGATGTATTTTCTACAATCAACAAATTATAAAGTTATTTTCACTAATCTTTTTGAAAATATAAATACAAGCCAGAGGTTCTTATTCATGGCTCATTTCTCGGGACTTTGTAAGACCATGAAGCACATTGAAACCCATATATTGAATAGGTCCCATGCAATCTGCCTGCATTAACTACATCAAACCCACTCATTCAAACTTTATCAAATTTTTTTTTGTCCTTTACCATGTACCAGAAATGGGACAAGGGGCACAGAATATAGAGGTGAACCAAAGAAACAGTTCTTGTCCTCATGAAGCTTATATCTTAGTGTTAGAGACAGAGGCACAAAGAATGTAAACCAATAAAGAGAAAAAGATAATTTAGATCGCAGTAAGTTATATAAGGAAAATTAAACAAGGCAATGGGATAGAAAACAATGACCAAGATGTAGAGAAAACTTTGGCTTGGGCTGTCAGGGCATGATGCTCACTAGAGAGATTCCATTTGAGCTGAGATATAATAAATAAAAATGATCCAAACATGTTGATTCAGGGAAAGACTGCTTCAGGAATTGCAATCACAGAATCATATTCCTAAGACAGGAATGAGCTGGGTGTCCTTGATTTAGAGAAGAAAATCAAGGTGTATAGACTCTAGGAAGTAAGAGTAGGTCCTGCTAGGGACTGTACTGTGTTTCTTAAAAATGTATATGCTGAAGCCCTAATCCCCACTGTTACTGCATTAGAGATATGGCCTTTAAGGAGGTAACTAAGATTAAAAGAAGACTAAGAGCAGGGCACTAATCTGATATGATGGGTGTTCTTATAAGAAAAGACACCAGATCTCTCTCTCTCTCTCTCTCTGTCTGTCTGTCTCTCTCTCTCTCTCTCTTCATGCATAGAGAAAAGACCATGTGAGGACACAGTGAGAAGGAGGCCACATGCAAAGCAGGAAGGAAGATCTCACCAGAACAAAAACCAGCCCTGCTGGCACCCTCATCTTGGACTTCTAGCCTTGCTCAGAGCTGTGAGAAAATAAATTTCTGGTGTTTCAACCACTCAACCTATGGTCATTCGTTATGCAACCCTAGCAGACAAACAGGGACCTAACTTAAGAACTGGTTAAAAATGAGGCCAGTGAGGAATTTGATACCCTATGGTTGGGAAAGTTTGATTTATTCTAAGTGCAACAGAATGGAGCTGGGGATATAAATTTGGGATTTATTGGCAGGTGAAACATATTTTAAAATAGACTAAAGTTAAATTTCCTGAGGGCAGAATGTAGATAGAAAAGAATCAAGGTTTTATGGCCAAGATCCAAGTCACTCCAATATTTAGAGTTCTCCCGAACATTTAAAGAGGGCTTACACTGATTCTATGTAGCATCTTCCAAAAAATAGAAATTCTTTACAGCATCTTTCCAAGTCATTATATGAGGCCAAAATTACCTTGATATTATAACCAAAGACAGTACAAGAGGAAGACAGTACAAGATCAATATATAACATGAAATTAGACATAACATTTCTAAACAAAATATTAGCAACTTGAATCCAGCAAATATGTAAAAAAAAAAAAAAAATGCACCATAGCCAAGTGGGATTTATTCCAGGTATGCAATGCTTTTAAATATTTGAAAATAAGCCGTTATAATCTACCATATTAACAGGCTAATCACATGATCATATCAGTTGATGAAGATCAAATCTATGGCAAAATTCAACATCTATAATTTTAAAGAACCTCTCTAAAAATAAGTAATAGAGGGAAATATATCCTCAAATTGATAAAGATCATTTACAGAAAACACAAAAGCTGTCATTATACATAATGGTGAGAATCTGAATCAGTTCCCCCTAAGATCAGGACCAGGCGAAGATGTTTGCTATCATCACTCTCATTCCACATAGTGCTGGAAGTTCTCACTGGTGCAATAAGGCACACAGTAGAAATAAAGACACTGAAATTTGTGTTAGTTAATTTTGTGTTGCTATAACAGAATGCCACAGACTGGATAATTTATTAAGAAAATTGTTTATTTCCTACAGTTTTGGAGGCTCAGAAGTTCAAGGTGCAGGGGCCTGCGTCTGGTGAGGGTCTTCTTGCTGCATCATCCCATGGCAGAAGGCAAAAGGGCAAGGGTACAAGAGAGAAAGAGAGAGAGGAATGGAGAAGGGATGATATGAGGGAGCCAAACTCATCCTTTTTATCCAGAGCCCACTCCTGAGATAATTAAGTCACTTCTGCAATACATCATTAATACATTCAGAGTCCTCATGACCTAATCACCTCTTAAAGGTTCCACTTCTTAATGCTGTTGCATTGGGGATTAAGTTTCCAACACAAAAACTTTGGGGGATGCATTCAAACTATAGCCAGTTTGAATAGAAAAAAAATTTAACTGTTTCTGTTTCAAATGACATAATTGTATACATAGAAAATTCCAAGCAATCTTTTAAACACTCCCAGAACTAATATGTAAGTTTAGCAAGATCACAGGATACAAGACCAACATACGAAAATAAATCATATTTTTATATGCTAGCAATGAAGATGTGGAAAACACAATTAAAAATACAAGACTATTTACAATTATTTCAAAAAAGAGAGAAATAATTAGGTACAAATCTAACAATGTACACATAGGTCCTCTATGCCAAAAATTACAGAACCCAAAGGAACAAATGCAAAGGGCTTTTAAATAAATGGAGAGATGACCTTGTAATGGATAGAAAGAATCAACATAATAAAGATGTCAGTCCTTTTCAACTTCATTAACAGGTGCAATTCAATTCATATCAAAATTCCAAAAATTATTTTTGCAGATATAGTAAAATTTATTTTAAAAATTATGTCTCAAGGCACAGGTCATGGACTAAGTAAAATAACTTTGAAAGTGAATAAAGTGGGGTGGATTATTACATCCAACATTAAGACTTACTATACGGCTACAATAATCAAGAGATTTTGATATTGGTTGGGGGATAGACTCATAGATCAATGGAACAGAAGAGAGAACCCAAAACTAAACAACACAAATATACCCAGCTGATTTTTGAAAAGGTTATAAAAGCGGTTCAGTGGAAGAACAGTTCTTTCAACAGATGATGTTAAAGCAATTAGATATCCAAGGGCAAATAATTTAATCTCAACCTAAACCTACTACTTCATTCAAAAAGTAATTCAAAGTGTAATATAGTTTTAAATATAAAATATAAAACTAAAAGACTTTAGTAAAAAACAAGAAAAATTTTAGGAAGTAGGGCTAGATGAGAAGTTCTTAGATATGACACCAAAAGCACAACTCATAAGAGAATATAATTACTCTATTGGACTTCACAAAAATTAAAAACTTTTGCTCTGTGAAAGACTACATTTAGAGAATGAAAATTTAATCTAAAGTTAATCTACAGACTAGAGGGAAATATTTGCAAATCACAAGATTCAATATAGGGCTTCTACTTGGAATACACAAAGAACTCTCAAACTGAACATTAAAAGAAAAATAAGCAGGCCAGTCTGAAGATAGCGAAGTATCACAATTGATTGTTCACAGTTCGTTACAGATCTTACTTCTTGTTCTGCTCTTCCCCCTTCTCACTACTGCACTTGACTAATTAAAAAAAGCAATTAAATTAGAAAATTTATAAACAAAATGAACAAATGATTTGAACTGGGGAGAGATGATATCTCATTTTAGTTTTGATTTGCTTTTCTCTGATAATCAATGATATTGAATGCCTTTTCATATGCCTGTTTGACATTTGTATGTCTTCTTTTGAGCAATGTCTATTCAAATCTTTTGCCCATTTTTAAATCAAATTATTAGATTTTTTCCTGTAAAATTGGGCTGCTTATATATTCTAATTATTAATCCTTCATCAGATGAGTAGTTTGCGAATAATTTCTCCCACTCTGCACATTGTCTTTTCACTTTGTTTATTGTTCCCTTCATTCTGCAGAAGCTTTTAAACTTGATTTGACCCCACTTGTCCATATCCAAAAGACAGGCAATAACAAATGCTGGAGAGGATGTGGAGAAAAGTGAACACTGGTACACTGGGGGAGTATAGATTAGTATAACCACTCTGAAGAATAGTTTGGAGCTTCCTCAAAAAACTAAAAATAGAGCTACCATATGATCCAGCAATACTATCCTTAGGTATATGATCAAAAGAAGGGAAATCAATGTATTGAAGAGACACCTGCACTCCCATATTAGCTGAAACACCATTCAAAATAGTCAAGATTTGGAAGCAATATAAGTGTCAATCAATAGATGAATGGATAAAGAAAGTGTGGTACTTACACAAAATGGAGTATTATTTAGCCATGGAAAAGCATGAGATCCTGTCATTTGCAACAACATGGATGGAACCAGAGATCATTATGTTAAGTGAAATAAGCCAGGTATAGAAAGACAAAGATCACATGTTCTCACTTATTTGTGAGAGCTAAAATTTAAAATGATTGAATTTGCATACATAGAGTATAGAGAGATGGTTACCAGAGGCTGGGAAGTGTAGTTGGGGTTGGTAGGGAAGATGAAGATAGCTAATGGGTTAAAAAAAAAAAAAAAAAAAAGAATGAATGAATAATACCTGGTATTTGATAGCAAAACTGGGTTACTATAGTCAAAATAATTTAATTGTACATTTTCAAATAACTAAAAGAATATAATTGGATTGTTTGTAACACAAAGGATAAATGCTTAAGGAGATGAATACTCCATTTACCCTGATGTGATTATTATATGCACTGCATGCCTCTCATCTGGATATCCAAGCAGAAGTTTGCTGCAGAGGTGGGGCCCTCATGAAGAACCTCTGCTAGGGCAGTATAGAAGAGAAATGTTGGGTTGGAGGCCCCAAACAGAGTCCCCACTGGGGCACTGCCTTGTAGAGCTATGAGAAGAGGGCTGCCATCCTCCATACTCCAGAATGGTAGATCCACCAACAGCTTGCATTATGCTCCTGGAAAAGCTGCAGACCCTCAACACTAGCCCCTGAAAGCAGCCAGGATGGGGGCTGTACCCTGCAAAACCACAGGGGAGGAGCTGCCCAAGGCTGTGGGAGCCCACCTCTTGTATCAGCATGACCTGGATGTGAGATATGAAGTCAAAGCAGATCATTCTGGAGCTTTAAGATTTAATGACTGCCCTTTGGGATTTCATACTTGCACGGAGTCTGTAGCCCTTTTGTTTTGGCCAATTTCTCCCATTTGGAACAGGTATATTTACCCACTGCCTGTACCCCCATTATATCTAGGAAGTAACTCACTTCCTTTTGATTTTACAGATTCATAAGTGGAAGGGCCTTGTCTCTGATGATACTTTGGACTGTGAACTTTTGAGTTAATACTGAAATGAGTTAAGACTTTGGGGGGCTGCTGGGAAGGCATGATTGGTTTTGAAATGTGAGAACATGAGATTCGGGAGGGTCCAGGGGCTGAATGATATGGTTTGGTTTTGTCCCCACCCAAATCTCACCTTGAATTGTAATAATCCCCATGTGTCAAGGGTGGGGCCAGGTGGAGATAACTGGATCATGGGGGCAGCTTCCCCCATACTGTACTCATGGTAGTGAATAAGTCTTATGAGTCTGATGGTTTTATAAATGGGACTTCCCCATACAAGCTCTCTCTTGCCTGCCACCATGTAAGATGTGACTTTACTCCTCATTTGCCTTCCACTATGATTATGAGGCCTCCCCAGCCATGTGGAACTGTGAGTTCATTAAACCTCTTTCCTTAATAAATTACCCAGTCTTGGGTATGTCTTTATTAGCAGCACTTGAACAGACAAACATACAAGCACATGTTTTTGTTTTTGTTTTTGTTTTTGTTTTGGGGGTGGGAGGTGGAGAGTTTTATTCACCAAAAAAAAAAAAAAAAATCCCAGAAACAGAATTTAAAGAGAAAAGCAGAAAATCCTTAAAAATATGTGTGTATTTATATATACGTATATATACGTGTGTGTGTGGGTGTGTATATGTGTGTGTAAAATATACATATACACACATATATGTGACTTGGCTTGGATATCAGCTTTTAATTATATAT